TTCAATGGGACCTCTTCTACCAATCCATCGATCTGGAAACGTCTGATCTAAATATTGTCGAACACGTAATGCGTAATGTGGTGGGAACATTAACCTATTCGCAATGTACCACCGATCATTCTGATTTTCAATTATGGCTGTTAATGCAGGATGTATGGCGTCTTCCAGTAATTCCAAATACATTTCACCGGTCAAATTTCCAGGTAAGAAAAAAGGACCAAGTTAATGATCGCCAAAAATACTAGCCCAAACATTTAATTTTTGTGGCTGCTGTGTATGAACCTCATGATAAATTGTGGGATTAGAATCGGACCAATATCGGCAGTTATGACGATTTACTACGCCATTTAAGAAAAAGGAACATTCGTCGGAAAAGCAAGTGTTGGATAGAAAATGTTCATCGTTTATAATTCGTTCACTCATATGTATCTTCACAAAATTGTAATGGCCGATCAAAATCGTCTTGATTAAGTTCTTGTACCAGGTGAATTTTATACGGATGAAAACTATGGGCCTTTAGAATCCGTTGGACAGTACGTCGACTAACACCACACACAGTCTCCAATTTGCGGGTACTTAAAGTAGGATCTACATAAACTTGCCCTAAAACCCCCACTTCTATTGCTTCGTTCCTTATGGGAATTTCAATGTTGCGTTTTTTATTGGCGACTGACCCAGTTTCCCGAAATTTAGCTAAGTTCTAGAACATATTTTCGATGCACGTTACTGTTCTCATGTCGATCATTAAATATTTCTGCTGTTCTATTAGCGCACTGAGTATTTCGGAAAATTATCCCTTCCTGCTGTGGAATATACCATGGTTAATTTATGTAATAAAGCGTTACAAGTTATTTTAGCAACAAATTTTGGTCAAATCAATCGCAAACTATGTTCTAAATTCCTATTTAAAATAAGTACGAGATATTTCCTTATCTTTCTTCAATAAATAACTTTTTTGCCACAAAAAAACGCTCCAATAGCTATTTTCAACAACAAAATGATAAACAAACCATGGGCGTAGTGAAGAAAAGCATTTACTTAGTAACTTAGAGTAAATTCTTTTAGTCAAATTTCTCAATAAATCTTCAAAACTACTGAACTGAAGCTCATGTATTTTACATCATTATAAAGGGAATTGAAAGACCTTTAAAATAAGGTATCGCTCGATCCCCCTTTCCATTTAAGATTTTAGGGTTGGTGTCACCCCCGCCCAGGAGGCTGCACGTGTTAACGTGATTTTTTGCCAAAACTGGCTCCCCCTCGAAAAAAAAATCGGCGGGTCTGAGCGTTTTTCCAAAAAAAAAACTTAGCTGACAGTAAATGCGTCTGTTTCGTTTTCGATGCGCCACCCTGTATATTGAAGATTCACTAAGGTTTCGACCTTTCCAACGATATTCATACACATCATATAGATTATTTGTTTTGCGGTCAAAACGAGATAAAGCGGTTTTAATCTTGCCATGTGTTATTTAATCTGAATCGGTTTGAAACCATTTTCGCAACAATTGCCTTCTCTTGATTGCACTTTCCTGGCTGAGAGTGGCTATAAAAACTTCCCCTGTGCAAGAAAAAGGAAGGTATCGGATGTCATTAACTTCAAATCAACTTGCATATGGGCTATTCCTAATCCAACCTGTTTATCGCTGCACTGTTCTCATCAAGTAGAGGCAGACATTTCAAAAATATGGTAGCTTGTAATTGACTTCTAAAACAGTCATAGGTTTTTTGTGATGGAATTCTCAATTCTAAATCCCTTATTTACTCTACATAACTTTAAGACTTTTGAAGTCACTATTTTGAGGGCGTTTGTAGGAAGTACTTATTAGCTCTGATAAAGTATGCACTATAGAATTCAATCAAGTTTATCTCATGTTATTATGTGGGCAATATTTATGTGAAATTCCAGGAAATTCAGCATCTCAGTATTTCGGTTTTCAACAAAAATAATTAAACATCCCAATCACTCGAAAAAAAGTCAGTTTATGTACCAAACGCCTTGTATACAACTTTATGAAAATAAAAGTTATTCTCAAAACCGAAAAATGATCTATGTGATAATATTAACTTTTAGTCCCCTACGCGTAATATTATACGATTTAGTTTAGTAACAAAGAGAAATATCTGCTTGAAATACGAGTTGCTTCCAACCTCAAATTGCTTTGAACCTAGGTCTTTTTATTATCATTATTTAACTTGCGGGAGAATTTTGAGAAATGCGTAAAAATACACGATTATCATAAGGCCAAGAGCAACCCTGGAACATTTTTTGTTCGGCAAGAATAAAGTAAACTTTCTGTTGCCGTATTTAAATTTAAGAACACCCACTTCTCAAACTCAGTCTGAATGAGCTTTTGTCCTCATACTACTTTTGCACCGCTATTGCTTGTCGCTTGGAAATCCACTTCTTATGCTTTTGCAGAGTCGAGACTTTTTCTATTATTAAAGTTCATTTACATGGAAGTGCACAGGGAAAACTTTCTTTACTCGCGCCTGCGTTCAAAAATTCAAATCGAGTTTGCTTAACTGCTGATTAATATTTAGGGACGGGTTCAGTACAGGTGAGCACTCACATTCGGTTTTAGGGCATTGTAAGCGTGGCATAGTTTCTAAAGCCCGTTTTTTCAATCGCAGATTAACTTTCACGTTAGTTGTAAGTTAACTATCATTTCCCGGAAATTCGTTAAGCGATCTCATTTTTTCCATTTCTCACCCAACTTAGTTTACTTAAATTGTACCTGAAATGGATAAAAATTTCAAAATGATTGCACTGCTTTAAAGCCCTTTGACCTTTAATAATGTGTGGATGCACCCTGATGTGCTACGCCTTCTCCAACGCGCCTAGACATGCTTCTGATCAGGTGGTCAATGTCCTCCTGTTGTATCTCATTCCAGGCAACCACCAACTCCTCTCGAAGTGCTTCTAGAGTCTGAGGAGGATGTTGCAAATTGAGTAATCTCCTACCCATCATATCCCACACGTGCTCAATTGGGGATAAGTCGGGAGATCTTGGTGGCCATGGTAATAATGTGACATCATTATGTTGAAAGAAGTCTATTGTGACTCTTGCAACATGTGGCCGGGCATTATCTTGTTGGAAAGTTGGATCTGCCAGGGTATCAAGATAGGGTAAAAGATGGGGTTCTAGAACTTCGTGGATATAACGCTGCGCGTTCATGTTACCTCTGATGAAGATTAAAGGTGACCTGGAACCATAAGCTATAGCACCCCAAACCATAACTCCAACAGTGTGATGAACATGTCTTTCAACAAAAAACTGTGGATTCCTCCTTTCACCACGTCGCCTTCTAACCCTGGCACGACCATCGTGCATGCCTAAACAAAATCGAGACTCGTCACTAAAGACAATACTGTTCCATTCCTGATCCCAGAGTGACCGTTGTCTGTACTACTCAAGGCGATTACGTCGGTGTTCTCGAGTTAAAGGGAGGACCCAGTGTGGCCGGTATGAAAACAAGCCAAAACTTCTCATTCGTCGGTAAACACTTCGCATGCCAATAGGTCTTCCGTGTTCTGCAAACCATTCATTTGCAATGGACCTGGTAGTGAAGAAACGATCCCTTGAGGCCAATAATCTTAGGCGGCGATCTTCACGGTCTGTTGTTCTACGGCGGCGTCCAGTGCCCCTTGCTCTTTGCGTACGGCCTTCTCGAAGCCATGCCTGACAACACCTAACCACAGTGTCTACACTTCTTTGCACTCTAACTGAAATTGCCCGAAAAGAAAGTCCAGCTTCCCGAAGTCCCACTACACGGCCCCTATCAAACTCACTAAGTTGACGAAATCGTACAGGTCTCCGTACTCTAGGCATCGTAACCGATCGTAAGGGATGTCAAGAACCAAAATCCGCCAACGTTGATTCTTTACTGCGGCTGAAATATTCATTTTTAGAGCGTTAGTGAATTAAAAAAAAGCAGTATAAAAACCGGAATGTCCAACTGATAAGGCTGAACATTTTTTCACTTGTTATTTACAGTAAGATAAATACATTCACCAACTTTTATTAAAATAAAACCATTTAAACTGGGTGTTCGGATTTATATGCCACTTAGTATATTTTATTGGTGACTGAATATTTGAATATATCCAAACAAATGCCGGACAAAACCAGTAAGTCATTGAACTTATGGACGATTTCCTGTATGTTCCTGTCAAAGTGCATTCCCATTGATGGGAAGGAAAGCAACACATTTATGGGCAAGACAATGTCAATCGACAATGCTTGATGTACGCAATTGTCCAACATCATTGTTCTATGACATTTCGTAAATGATTATCTTTCAGAAAATGCTTATTACATAGACTATAAAGAGCTTATTTTGTCTTATAGCTCCTTGCTGTATAAGGAGTCTGAACTGAAACGGAAGTACACTGCCCTGTTAATTCAAAGGGGCGTATGTGTATATTTTCTTAAAAATGAGCTAAAAGCGTATACAGGTGGTTACTTTATAAGATGTCTTCGCATATTTTAGCATAAAAAGCCGTAACGACCCTGCTATATCTAGGAAACACCTTGAAAAATAAGGCGTATCTGTATTTTCATCAACTTAGTTAACTTAAAAAGGCGTAAGTGATATTTTTACGAAAATAAGCCGTATATGCACAGTGTGTTAAAAATAAATGGCGTATCTACAAGAGCCATTTACAGATACGCCCTTTCTCATAAACATCTGTTATATGCGCATGCGTATTGCGTATTATCGGTGTATTTTCTAACCTCAAAATTAGTTGTTAGTAATTCGCGGTTAGGATTTTGAATATTTGACGTTTTTGTATTTGTTTTACGTCTTATTGTTTCGTGAAAATCGATAAAATGGAGCGAAGGGAAACGTCTTGTTTTACTTGCTTTGAATAAGCTTCAAAGCGAAAAGGTTAGTTCGTCTAATTCTAGCGATTCTGATACCATGTCACGATTAGGTAAGTCGTTGAGAGTTCACTATCTTGTTTTTTTTTATATTTACACTATTTTATCTCTGTTTAGAGATGAATCCCACAACAAAAATAAATATTGTAAGCAATATTTATATTCGTCTCCGCAACACTGGCATCACTACTCAGACGAACTTAACTTCCAATGAAGAAACCCATAATGAAGCTCTTTATTGTGTTACAAAAATATTAGAAGATATGTTTATAAACGTGGTTGAAAAGGCGGAGCAGTTAACACTGACCAAAGATGGAAGACCAAGAAAACGAAAAAGGTTTATTGAAAGTGATGAGGAAAGAAAAGAAAAAAGGTAATAGAACACACAATAAAGGAATCTTGCAATCCTGACACTTGTTTAAAAAAATGTGGGTACAAGATAAATTCAAGGCAACGTGCAATGATCAATCACAGCTTCTGGGAAATGCCCAACAAGGAACAAAGAATTTTCATTCTTCATTGTGTATCCAAGACTGTTTCAAAGAGGAAAACTACTAAAGCCTTAACATCACGACGCAGCAATACTATGAATTACTCGCTCAAAGATCACCAAGGTTCTAGAACCGAAGTGAGCAAGGCATTTTTCCTTACAACACTCGGTTTCAAAAAATCCAATGATAAACTAATTAGAAGTTTGTTCAAGAAAATAGAGAGAAATTCTGTCACGCCAAAAAATGGAGACCAAACAATAAAAAGTTCCATAGAGAATTAATTCTCACATATTCAATCATTCAATCCTAGCCTAGCTCATTATCGACGTGAGCATGCTCCACAAAGAAAATACTTACCATCTGACATCACAATCAAGGACATGTATGAAGATTTTCAAGAAAAGTACCCATCGATAAATTGCTCATACTACCTCTACAGGGAAGTTGTGAGCAGTCTTAATATTTCATTTTCGAAATTAGGCCATGAGGAGTGTTGGGCCTGTGAGATATTCTCACAACATTCAAAAGGTAGTGGTCATCAAAAAGACAGCCTATGTTTCGATTGTGACGAATGCCGATCTTGGAATGACCATCATAACCGATGTATATCTGCGAGAGAAAACTGTCAAAAAGACTGTGCTGAATTAGAAGCCGTTGTGACAGTGGATCTCAAAAAGCTATATATTTTTCCGAATTGTTCTCATTTGAAATTTATATGTATCAACTATTTCAGGTCATTATGCTTCCCCGTTGTGATACCTTCAAAGAAGTAATTTTTGTTTGTCCCGAAGCTGATCGCCTTCAGTGAGAGTTTCCTGGAGGAAAAAGAGCAATAGTTCCACCTGTGGCGGTTCTATAGCACAAAGCAATTGCAGGAAGAGGCAAACAAGATATTACAAGTGCTTTTTATAAATACTTCTTGCAAATTCGTGACACAGAACGTGACAACTGTTCAGCACAGAATAACAATTGGTGTATATTTAGTTTCTTTGTGTACTTGGTTAATTCCAACGAAGTCGCTGTGAAGCACTTGCATGTGAAATACTTTGAATCAGGTCATACGTTAATGGCAGCAGACTGCTTCCACCATGCAGTAGAGAAGTCGTTGAAAAAAAAAAGGGAAAAGTATATGATTTTGGTGATTATGTGGATGCTGTGAAGACGTTTTTCAAAGGAATCAACGTAGTAGTGATGAACGAGCAGTCATTTTATTCCTGGGAAGACCACACATCCCAGTATAAGCTGAATAAAATAACACCGAGGCCTTATCTCAAGTCCATGGTTGAAGTTCATTTTACCAGGGAAGAAAGAACCATTTAGTACCGAGAGTCTTTTGAGCGACCATTCATTACACTGAATTTTTTAAATCATAAGAGCTTCAAAACTGGAACTAAAATGCCGAATTCGGTAGAGGTTCCTAGAGGAATCACTGTTGAGCGAAAGCAGACTATAATTTCAAGACTAGGGTCTATTTTTCTTCCCAATAGACTAAAGTTTTGGGAATCTCTACCAACAGTAAACAAAGAGGAGGGAGCAATTATTGAAGCTACTGACTGAAACTAACGGTCTATGTTTTGAATTTATATTTTTCGTTTATATTTAGTCTAAATATGTTTCATTAATAAAGTTTTCTTTTCTTTTCTACTTGTTATTATTATAACTCATTTAACCTAATGATAGAATTCAAAGGCGTATCTGTTATTCGTATTGTTTATGTTAATCGAAAAGGGCGTATCTATCAAATATCTTATTTGGAATCAAATTTTGGAATTCAAAGGATAAAATAGAATAACTATCACTATTCATACTTAGATACGGCAACATGAACAGTGATATAATAATAATAATCCGGATCGTGTCAGTTGACTTTTTGTAAGCTCCGTCTTCCCGACTCTCTTTACTATAAAAATAGCTGAAATGCTAAATATTATTTTATTCTGCATATACAGGTACTAAATGATATTCAAAAAAGAACACACAGTAATAATGAATTTATTACAAATATTTTCTAGGTGTATGTTTGTTTCGGTTAGGGTAAAAAACGATCTGCTTTTCAACCATATTAGTTTTGCAGAAAATGTTTAGCTAGAATCTGCATATTTGATCTTCGATGCCAGGCTGCTAGAGAAACAACCACCAGGGTGCACAGAAATCTAAATGTGGTGGTGGTTTGTTCTTGGGCATGGAATCAGGAAAGCCGAACATGAAGTCTTAAAGGTACAGGGCCACTCAGAAGAACGGCTGAACACCAAGATCGCCGTCCTGGCCTTTTGACTCTACGGGACCCCTTCTTGTTCACAAGCATGGGCATTAACAGTTTTGGACTTTCTTCATAGCGTCCTCAGTTTTTACTACCTCTTACACCTAGGCGCAAGTGATTTACGTTCTTGGTGCAGAGAACTGTGACATCGAAAAGACGTCATTGTTTTAAGTGATGAGTCCAAATTCTGATTAGGGATACATGATGGCCGTGCTTGGCTGAGAAGGCGATGAGGTAAAGATGAGTTTCGCGGTTACTTGGAAACGCATGTGCACTACATTGTTGGAATTATGGTATCAGGGGCTAATGCTTATAAAATTAGGTCACCGTTGGTGTTAATCAGATTCGACATGATGGCCGAGCAGTGCCGACGCGTGACTTTTCCTAAACTGTTACCAAAACCAGATATAAAAAATCTTATTAAAAAATTTTATCTTGAACCTCCCAAATATAAGTTTATGCTTTTTAGGTATTTTATTTAAACTATTTTTAAATTAAGGTAAACATTCCTGGACTGAGCGTCTGGGGCACTTGATATACCTCAATGTCTTATGCTATGACTAATTCAAGCCGTCAGAAAAAACAGTCGACCTTTCTAGATGTTCGGAAAATGTTTGATCTTCTCTGGCAATGAATGTTAACAATCCCCTGTAATTTCCTCTATTGTCAGAGTCATCCCCTTCAAAATGAACGGTAATTCCTGTTTTGCCAAAAACGTACGGTATCTAGAAGTATGCTGCCTAAAAGCTTGGTTAAGACAACTTTCGATTATTGTTTTGCCAAACTGAATTAAATTGGCTACACATCTCACATGTAACGGAGAAATTCCATATCTCCTCTTTAGAGCCCAGAATTATTTAAATCGTTGACACCGCTGCTGGTCCACCCATTATTTTCTGTATAAAACAGAAGACATCGCCAACAATACAATTTGTTTCCTTGCAACAACACAACCAAGAGTTTTCATATACCAACCTAATTTAAAATATCAAGATACGTTTTTTTATTCTTGTTTAAAATTATCTAAAATAGGTGTTGGTCTTCCATTTCCACTGATCTCCTTTTTTCTTAAAAATTATACAAGGAGAATCACTTTTTAAGTGGTTGATCCATTCCGCATCCATGTTTAATTGCACGCACACTACAGCCATCAACCAAAACGGCTACTAACGAGTGAGAAGTGGGTAACCAAATCAAAAAATGGTAACAAGCCCACATAATAGTCGCAGCGACGCACGCACTCGAGCGACCGCGATAAGACACGAGCTGGTACCGACGGTCCCCGACGGACTACCAGGTGTATCCATAAATGAAAATGGTAACAACTGACAACCAAGTCGAGGCGTGTCAGCTTCACCGTGTTCGCAAAACCTAGACACTATAGGGCGCATTATTTTCATGGGGCTAATTTGCTATGTACTGAATTACTATTACATACATGTATTGCTGTTGGTAAACAAATAAATGAACTTATTTCACAGTACTTATTCATAAAATATTTATTTTTAAGATTGTTAACTGTTACCAATGGTAACAACGGTTACATGGACGCTTCGCCACTGTCGAGGAGCGTTTCATCCAAAAGGTTAGGAAGCCACATGTTTTGCCTTATATATGTATGCTCACCAACCTACCTTTCCAACAAGACCATGCTCGACCATATATAGCCAGAATCGCATTTTGAAGACAATCAAGTTGATTTGTTGCTCCTAGATATTTCACGCATTGAATACGTCTGAGACATTATGGGAAGAATATTATTCTATTCACCTTATCCTACATAGGCTCCAACTGTACTTCGACACGAGGTGCAAGTACCCAGGAATGAAATAATAATAATAGACGTCTTTATTTATCCACAATTACATTGTAGTATAGCCAAATGTCAGACTTACATGGCGAAGTTTAGCATGCTGCTACTCTTACACTTAACCATATAGTCTCTAGCAGATGTTCAAAAGAATACACTATCCACAAACAGATTTGGTTCATTACATCGAAAGTAAAATTTAAAAAAGACCAAATGCACCAAAAAATTATTAATCTGAATTAAAGATGGAATAAAAAAGAAATGAACGATTACGTAAATTATATGTTTGGAGGGTTGAGTAATAATGTTTTAACTTTTTGTCAAAAGACGGGTAATGAAAATTCTTTATACACTTTAGGAAGGTCATTATAAATAATAGCAACATTTTAAGAAAAACTGCGTTTAAAAAGTGTAGACGTATGGAGTGGTATTCTAATATTACGTACGTATTTTCTCTGAGAGTTCTACAGTGAACATCATTATTGAATGAAATTTTTTCCTTCAAGTAATAAGGTTTAGACGTGAGCAGCAATTTGTGAACAAAAACTGAATAGTGATACTTGACCATGTCATTAATTTTTAACCAGTTTAGAACGGGATATTTCGCTGATACATGATCAAATTTACGTAAGCCAAAAATGAATCGTATACAATTATTTTGAATAACTTGAATAACGTTTTTAGTGAAATTGTCTAAACAAGTATAGTATACGATATTACAATAATTTAGTATAGATATGAACAATGCTTCACATAGTTTTTTACGCATCTTAAAATTTAGTAAATACCTGTTTGCTATAAGAGTGCGTTTTTCTGAGATAGACTTTTAACATGTTCAATGAACCTTAATTTTGTATCAAAAACAACACCAAGAATTTTTGCAGAATCAGAAAATTGCAAGATTTGGTTATTTATCTGAATGTTCAAGAGCTGTGTTACATTGTATGTTTTTCTTTGTGCGCAAAATAATAACATTTTAGATTTTTGTGGATTAATAAGTAGATTGTGATCTAAAGAGTATTTAATTAATTTATTAACATCGTTTTGTAAAATTTGAGTAGTATTATTGACATTATCTGGGTTAAAATAATGAAGCAATTGCGTATCGTCTGCAAATGACTGGACTTGAGAATTATCAATACTTTTGCTTAAGTCGAACGTATATATGAGGAACAGAAGCGGCCCCAATACAGAGCCCTGAGGTACGCCTGGGGGAATTATTGTCACTTGAGATATTTCTTGATTGAGAAAAACACACTGAGTTCTTTGTCGAAAAATGAAAGGGATACACTGTAAAGACCTATGTAATTTAATTTAGCAAGTAATAATTTATGATTGATGCTGTCAAAGGCTTTCGAATAGTCTATAGATAGAGATTAAGGCTAGTGCCAATTTCTTATCTAAGACACTTAAAATATTGTCTTGCAGATTAAGTAGGGCAGATGTTGTATTATAATTTTTTCTAAATCCGGATTGAGTGTCGGGAAGTATAAATATCTTGAGAGCAAATCGACATGTGATTAGAGTATGGTCAGATGTGTGTCTGAGACTGTTAGACATCGTAGAGTGACAACAAATTTTAGATTTATTACATTTTTTCAACGATCGGATTTTTTTGAAATATCGAGAAAGACACGTATACAACAAATTGTTTTAATACATTCATTATTACTGGGTGTTCTTTTTTCTGTATCACTTGTTTTATTTTAAATTAGTATGTATCTATGGAAAAATTGCCATGGCTTCTCCTTCCATTCCCGTAAGATCGATCAATTTTCACGTCTGACAACCTGACTCCACTCGGAAACCCCGTAAGGACCAATTAAACGTACAGAAACCCACCATCCCGTCTGTAATTGCACGCCCCACCCTGATTTCAGGTCTCGGAGTGAGCCAGGCATAAAGGACAACATTCAACCGACGTACATCAAAGACGAAGGAAGTCTGACAAAGGACGACCACTGATAACATTTACTCTATTTCCTTTGTCCACTTTTCTCTTTAATCTCTTCCAATAAATAACGTCGACCTCTCGAGCAGTTCGACCCGTCGTTCCCGTCCACGTCCCGTGAAATCCAACTTCAATTTCGGGATAAACTTCAACGCCCCGACCCGCCGTCCGCTTTTCTATGCCACTCCTGATCATAAAAGGAGGTGAGTGATTTTTGTAGAACTGTCAGTCGATGTAGACAGTATCCGCAGAGATGTGCGCTGGAAATTGTATTTCGGATATTTAAGGGGATATTGTAG